CTTAAGCCTGGACGACGACCTGCCTCACCTGTTCTTTGGCGTGGTGACAATGGGCATGGTCTTCGCTCTGATGACCGTGATGTTGCTGTACATGTTGGGAGGGCCCTGAAGCGCACGTGCGGCCAGCTCATATGGGGACAGGCCTCCAAGCACTATCACGGCAAGGGGGTTCCAAGTGGGGCTGAACTTACTTGTGTTCAGAGGGAGCTTTCTCGAATGTGGAGAGACCTTGACTACGAGGCACAAAGGATCCTTAGGAATTTGGGTTCTGGAGGATTTTGGACTGATCAGAGCCTGCACGAGCAGTATCTTACCTCTGCGTCTGAGAAGTGTCCTTGGTGCAGTGTGAGGCTAGCATCCCCCTTCCACAATTGTTGAGCTTGCCCCATGAATATCGGCGGCGGGCGAGGGGGGGAAGTAAGAAGGAGAAGGCCTTCTCGGAAGGTGGCACGACTTCTCAGAAGCCCTCGCGCCTTCTGAGAAGATGTCTGCGTCCTTGGGGAAGGCTTAGAAAACTTCTCAGAAGGCCGGGGGACTTCCGAGCCTTCTGAGAAGGCCCGCCCATTCTCACTTCCCCCCCATCGCTCGCCACCGAGAATAACAATACAACTAATAGCTGCATTGAGCGTACAGCTCACCTTGCGCAATGTGCTGCGCAGGAGCTGTGATGTCCAGCATTGTGGTGCCGCGGACTCATGCCCCTTGATCGATCGGTTGGTCACCTCCCGCTTGCCGAAAGGACCGCCTGTCTCTGGGGATCGTTTGCGGATCAGGAGGTCCGCGAGGGAGGAGTTTGGGGCATCGACAGATCGGGAGGGGCTGAAACTAAGGACGCTAGACTAAGGCGCTGTGGCTGGCCCTGCGTCAGACGCAGCACCACGTCAGACAATGTGGATGGTGACTTTGCTGGCACGCTTAGTGAAACCGAGCAGCCCTCTCCTCGAGCAGAGATGCTTGCACTGGTTTATGGTTTGCGGTATAATTCTGGACGAATGCAAGCCTTTCTGATTACTGGAACGTTGCGAAAGGATCCAGGAAACCTGGAGAGACCCTCAAGAAGTCGGGGATGATGGATCTGTGGGATCGTCTTTGAGACATCCTGGATCGGAGGCAAGGGGCGGTTGACCTCAGATGGACCAAGAGCCACCCGACCGAAGCCCAAGTCAGCGCCCTTCATTTCGCGACTATTGAGCAGCTCCTTAATGGGGCCGGTGATGCTTGCGCTGGGGAAGCGGCCCGTCGTGCAGCCGTCCCCCAACATGCAGTGACCATCACGATGACAATCTGATAAATCAAGCGCTAATGGTTCAAGAAAGCTGGTGTGCATTCTGCCCCCTGCCCCAGGGCAAGAGTGCGAGAGCGCGCTGGGCAGGAGCACGCGACAGCACAGCCGCCTCACAACAAGTGCCCAGCTCGGAGTTGCCAGAGATCTCTGAGGCTGGACACTCCCCCCGTCCGGCCTGGACCGCTCCTGCGGCGCAAGATCTGCTCTGCCGCGGTTCCTGGGCGGGGCGCGCCGTCCTCTTGGCATGGCGCTGTCTGTGGCCGGCAAGTTCCCGCGTGCTGCGCCTCCCTCTCGGGAGGACGGGCCCGTCCTGGAGAGCCCCGGGGCCGACGACCACGAGCCGTCGTCCCGCCCGCGGGCCACCTCCTGTCGCGAGACCCGTGCGAAGGGAACCCTCCCCGGGGTGCTTGCTGCTCGTGCTGCGGGCGTTCTGCCGTGGGCAGCAGCAGGCGGCTCCGCGAGCCCGTGTCGGCCGCCCACCCGCAGAGGGCTCGAGGCTCTGGACCGCCGTGCGCGGGGGTTCCCGCCGGGAGTCGGGGATGTCCTCCCCTCGGTGGTCTTGTGGTGAGGTGGCGAGGCTCGAGGCAGCACCTGAGAACCACGCTGTGGCCATAGCGCCATAGCTCCTTCTCCTCCCCCGCCTCCTCGTCATCATCCGTCCCATCCCCTGGCACGCGCTGTGCTCCTCAGTCAACGTCTGCACAAGACAATTACATGTGCAACATGTGCAGCGACCAACGGTTGTGGCGTCAGCCGGATGAATCATCGACGTGCCATGAAGCTTGGGCAGCATGATCGAGTCGTCTCCCATCACGACTGGCGGGCCAAAGGTACCATCCTGAACCGATCCCATAAAGGAAGGCCGCGAGGATTTGCCACCCGCACTTTCAGAAAGACGTGAGGCGTTCATGTACCCCCCTGGAAAAGCCAGCTGCCGAATTGAAGGAAACAACAAAACATGGCTAGCGGGAAAAAAAACTGTGTGTACCTTGTCCGAGCCGCAATGGCTACGAAACTCAACCACACAACCAGAGACCCAAGGATCCGCAAGGAATCTCGCGTGTATCTGGACTGACCCTGCAAAAAGCACCGAACTACTGCACGCGCATCCGTGCAAAAATCGCCTCCAACATGCCATCGGCACAAAAACTGCATTCACATATTTTCAAACAAGACACGAAGTCAAATATATCCGCCACCGTGCCGTAGGCACTGAATTGAGTGTCCCTAAGTTCCTTCGAGCCCTCTGCACTCATCGAGTGCTATCAGTCTGGCCATCGCTCGGACGTGCATGTCCCGTGCACTGTTCGGTTTCGCGCGTGTACTTTCCCCACGATAGTCCAGGATGCTCCTTGAGGGTCCTCGCCGAGAAAAAAATGCACACGACCGAGCGATATCAAGAAATACTCTCTTTTAGAGGGGGTCAGGGGCTCCGAGTCAGGGGCGGTCCTGCGCGCTCGCAGGGGCGTTCCGTGGGAATGACGTGTCCAGGGGCCTCGGAAGCAGGGCGTTGGCATACGCACTTCCAGCATGGCTGCAGATGGTCTCAGCGCCCGTCCTGGAGCCCTCGTGGGGGTCTGCTGGGCAAGCTGCCCGCCCATTGCCCCCCCAAAAAATGTGTTTCGCTCTATGGTCACAAACTCGCATCTCGATGTGAAGAGCGTCCGAGGCCCCCAAAGATCGCTCGAAAGCGGCGTCCGAAGCCTCAAAATTGCAGGAGAGGCCCCCAAGCCGGCCACACGAGAGGCCGAGTAGGCGAAACACTTTCATACGTCAGCGGCGAGGCAGAAATGCTGCTCGGGCGGGCGGCCATGCAGGGCGCCGATACGCGAACTGGCCGGCTTGCAAGAAGGGGAGAAAACAGGGGACAGGGCGGCCGCGGAGGAGAGGAGAAGGAGGAGAAGGAGGAGGAGGAGGAGGAGGAGGAAGGCACTCAGACGCGGAAGACTTCCATGTCAAGCGCCGAATCGGTGAAACACGAATTGCTATTTCGAGCTCTTGCCCCCAGGATGGCCCCCGAGAGCGCCAGCTGGCCCCCCAGGAGGCCGACGGGAGACAGCCAGGGAGCCCCCAGAGGCCCCCGGAGGCTCCCAGGAGGCCCAAAGAGACCTCCGAGAGGCCCCCGTACTGAACCCCCAAGAGGCCTCCAACCGGGCCCCTGGCCCACAGTCCGGGCACGGTGGCCGCAGGGGCCGAAGGCCACTTGGCAAACGTTTCAAAGCATGCTCGAATGGCAAATGGAGACCCGACTCGCACAGACTGCCACGTTTCCACATGGCTTCGGAGTCTCCCCAGAGATCTCCACCGGGAACACAGTGGCCCTCCTAAGCATTACAAGCATCATGGTGATCGTCCTCGTCGTCCTCATCATCATCCGCAGTGTCATCATCATCATCATCATCATCATCATCATCATCATCATCATCATCATCATCATCATCATCATCAACAACATCAGCATCATCATCATCATTATCATCAGCAGCAGCATCAGCATCAGCATCAGCATCATCAGCAGCTTCAGCATCATCATCAGCAGCAGCATCAGCATCAGCATCAGCATCAACATCATCACCATCATCATCAGCATCATCAGCATCACCATCATCATCATTATCAGCATCAGCATTAGCAGCATCAGTATAGGCATCATCGTCAGCATCATCATCAGCATCACCATCATCATCAGCATCAACATCATTATAATAATCAGTATCATAATCATCATCATAATCATCAGCACCATCATCAGCAACATCAGCATCATCAATAACATCATAGTCAGCATCAACATCATCATCATCATCATCATCAACAACAGCAGCATCATCGTCATCATCAACATTAACATCATCATCAGCATCATCATCAGCATCAGCACCAATCATCAGCATCAGCATCATCATCATAATCAACATGATCATCATCATCATCAGCAGCAGCAGCACCACCATCATCATTAGCATCATCATCATCCGCAGCAGCACAACCACCACCACCACAGCAAGTAGCATCATCATCATCATCATCACCACCATCATCATCACCATCAGTATCGCCGTCGTGGTCATCAGCATCAGCATGATCGTAATCCTGATCGTCCTCCTTCTCCTCCTCCTCCTCCTCCTCCTCCTCCTCCTCCTCCTCCTCTTCCTCCTCCCCATCATCCGCATCCGTCTCCTCCCTCTTATCATCATCAGCAGCATCGTCATCATCACCATAATCATAATCATCACAAAAATCAACATCAACATCACCATCATCGTCGTCATCATCAGCACCGTCACCGTCATCAGCATCATCATCAGCATCAGCATCACCAGCAGCATCCTCATCATCAGCATCAGCATCATCATCGAAAGTTTCGTCATCATCATCATCACCGTCATCATCAGCATCTTCATCATCAGCAGCATCGTCAGCATCATCATCATCACCAGTACCACCACCATTAGAAGTGCGGCCTCGCTATCTGACACTCCGTGCACGCCAGGCATGCAGCGGAGCGGTCGTGCTCGAAGAAGAGACGCCTCCTCCCCTCCCCCGCCTCATCCTCTCCGCCCTCCCAGTCCTCCACCTGCCCTTCGCATCGTCCTCACATCCTCTCCACTCCGCCCATTCCTTTCCCCCCTCGACCTCATCTGCTTCCCCTCTGCGGGGAGTGTCCTTGCCACTCGCTTCCCTGAGCTCCTCCTCGCGAGGAGGATGCCCGAGCCGGAGCTGCTCGGCCAGCAACTCTGACGTGGTGTAGTGAACGGTCAGGCTCGGGACCTTCGCTGGCACCGAGGCGGCGCGCAGCAGCAGAAGAGAAGGCAGCAACAGCAGAAGCCTCCGCAGACCCAAATCTCTTCAGACCTCGGAGGGCATCGACTCACAGCAAGACCGCATCCACCGCTCGCCGTCGCTCGGACGTCCGTTACCCGTGCATGTCTCGGTTTCGTGAATGTTCTTCTCTGTCGCAAGATGATCCAGAATGCTCCTCGATGGTACTCGCCGGGGAAAACAATGCACAAGTCGGTGGACATCGACTCCCAGCAAGGCCGGATCCACCGAGATCGGGGCCCAGGAGCGTGCAGGAACCCGAGAGGCGGCCTGCAGGCCCCAACGAGCCCGACGGGGCAGGGGGTAAGACACGGCCACGAGGGCGGGAGAAGGCGTGGCTGGCTGGAGAGAAGCCGTCCAGTACCCCACGGCCTTCCCTCCAGCTCCCATGCCCCTCCCCCATCCAGCCCCCCAGCCCCCCCTCCCCCTCCTCCACCTCCTCCATTTCCTCCTTCAGCCCCCCTCCCCTTTTTCCCTCCTCCCTCATCGTTCCCCCCCCTCCTCCTTTTCCTTTTCCTTTCTCCTCCTCCTCCTCCTCCTCCTCCTCCTCCTCCTCCTCCTCCTCCTCCTCCTCCTCCTCCTCCTCCTCCTCCTCATCCTCCTCCTCCAAAAATCGGCCCACAGACTTCTCAAGGGGTGCGCTTTGGCCAGAATTCGAAACGAGCCTCCAGCCGAGGTGTGGCGACGAGGGCAGCCCAGGGGGGGCCAAAAAGGGGTGAAAAACGTGCGAGCACCTCGATCCTCGAACCCCGATCCCTCCGCGCCCCCTTCCCTGGCCTCCTCCCTCCTCCCTCCTCCTCCTCCTCCTCCTCTCCTCCTCCTCCTCCTCCTCCTCCTCCTCCTCCTCCTCCTCCTCCTCCTCCCTCCTCCTCCTCCTCCTCCTCCTCCTCCTCCTCCTCCTCCTCCTCCTCCTCCAATGAGGCGAACGCTGTGGAAAAAAAAGCTCCGACGGGCTCCTTCGCTCGCCCGGTTTCGGTCCGGGGGTCCGATAGGGGGCCTCACGCACGCGGTCAGACATCTGGCTGCCGCCTCGACCCGACGGGAATAATGCCATGATCCGAACGCCCCAAGAGGGGCCCCAGAGGGGGAGCGCGAAACAACATTTCGAGCAATCGGCCCCAAGAAGCCCCCAGGAGGCCCCAAGAGGCCTCTAAGAGGCCCTAAGAAGCCCCCAAGAGGCCCTCAGGAGGCCCCCATTAGGCCCCCAAGAGGCCCCCTCGCATCCCCAGAAGGCCCCCCAAATGCCCCCCCCCCGAGCACGCGAGCAAGTGCCAGCGATGCTACAATATGGGCCGGCGGAATGAGCGAAGCGATTGAATAATGCTATGATCCGGATGCTTCGGGATACGCTCCGGGAGCTCTGGCCCTCGACTACTCGTGCTTGGCCGATCGTCTTGACCACGCGGGCATGTTCATGACTTCTCTTTCTACTTCTCGCTCTCTCTCTCTCTCTCTCTTTCTCTCTCCTCTAACCCGAGGCTCGGAGGCGGCCAGGGCTTCTGAGCTGGACTAGTCCAGAAAGAATCCGCCGACCGCATGTGGGTCTCCAGGCGTGTGAGATGATCCGTTCTTAGTCCCCCCAATGGACAAGCGCGTTAGACGACTCGCAAAATAACTAGTCGCAAATGGCCTGGATCCGCCGCGCGGGGTCCACGATCCATTACATCGAGGCGAACGAGGGATGTTTTTGTCGGGCGTCGGCGAGTAGGCACTTTGCGAGTAGTGGAACGCGCTGGGTGACCCAAGGACCCCAATCCGTCAACTTGACGCCCCACGCTGCCCCAGACGAATCATTGACCGCGAGGCCCATTTGCCAGAAGCACACTCCCGAGACCGTTTGACAGTCAGGCCCCGCTGTCGGCGGGCGGGCTCCAGAGTCGAACTTTGTCGTCGACAATGGGGCCCCGCTGTCAAAGTCATACTGCCGCCTCGGCCGACCACGCCCGGTTGACAGCGGGGCCCACTGTCAACCAGAAGTTCCTGGGCTTGTCCAAGGAAGCGGCCGTGCTGCTCCGGGCCCCCAGCCCCTGTGTCTCCACAGTCCCAGTGCGGCCCCACTGTCAAGGCGTAATGATTCCCGCCAAGCCAAGGCGCTCGACCCTGGCGCCTCACTGTCAACAGGGACACCTGCGCCGCCCGCCCGCTTCGCAATGCTAGCGGGTCCCCACTGTCGAAGGCACATTCCCGCACGGGTCCGAAGCCGCTTGACAGTGGTTTGTTAAGTCGGCGGCGCAGAGGGTCCTCAAGCGCGGGCAGCAGATGAAGGTGCTAATTGCGATCGAGCAGCGCTTTTGACACTGGCGCCCCACTGTCAACAGGGGGACCTGCGCCGTTCGCCCAACCCGCCTTGACCGGAGGGCCCTAGTCAAATGCCACGACCGCCTGCACCCGACGGCGCGACAGCTGCACTCGGCGGCTGCGGGGAGGGGCTGCCTGAGGCCAGCCGCCCTGCATGCACAGGGAGGGCAGGGGCCGCAGGGCGCCCTCCACGTCGAAGCAGGACATCGGCACCTCTACCAAGGCTCCTCGCTACCCTCCTCCCCCCTACTTGTTCTTCTCCCACATTACCCTCCTCCTTCCTTCTCCTCCTCCTCCTCCTCCTCCTCCTGCTCCCCTCCCTCCCTCCTTCCCTCACTCCGTCCCTCACCCCCTCCTCCTCCTCCTCCCTCCTCCTCTCTCCTCTTCCTCCTCCTCCTCCTCCTCTCTTCATCCTCCTTCTCTCTTCTCTTCATCCTCATCCTCATCCCCACCCCCTCCTCCTCTCCTCCTCCTCCTCCTCCCTCCTCCTCCTCCTCCCTCTTCCTCCTCCTCTCCTCCTCCTGCTCCTTATGCCTCCTCCTCCTCTTCCTCCTCTCATCCTCCTCCTCCACCTCCTCCTCCTCCTCTTCCTCCTCACCTCCCTCCTCCTCCTCCCCTCCTCCTTCTCCTCCTCCTCCTCCTCTCCTTCTCCTCCTCGTCTCCTCCTCCTCCTCTCCTCCTCCTCCTCCTCCTCCTCCTCTCTCCTCCTCCTCCTCCTACCTACTACTACTACTACTACTACTACTACTACTACTACTACTACTACTACTACTACTACTACTACTACTACTACTACTACTACTACTACTACTACTACTACTACTACTACTACTACTACTACTACTACTACTACTACTACTACTACTACTACTACTACTACTACTACTACTACTACTACTTACTACTACTACTACTACTACTACTACTACTACTACTACTACTACTACTACTACTACTACTACTACTACTACTACTACTACTACTACTACTACTACTACTACTACTACTACTAACTACTACTACTACTACTACTACTACTACTACTACTACTACTACTACTACTACTACTACTACTACTACTACTACTACTACTACTACTACTACTACTACTACTACTACTACTACTACTACTACTTACTACTACTACTACTACTACTACTACTACTACTACTACTACTACTACTACTACTACTACTACTACTACTACTACTACTACTACTACTACTACTACTACTACGACTACGACTACGACTACACTACTACTACTACTACTACTACTACCTACTACTACTACTACTACTACTACTACTACTACTACTACTACTATTCCTTCTCCTCCCCTCCTCCTTCTCCTTCTCCTCCTCCTCCACCTCCTCCTCTTCTTCCTCTTCCTCCTCCTCATTCTTCTCCAGCGGGCCGCCAATCCGACCGCTGGGCGCTTCGCGTGAGCGATAAGGCGCAGCCCATGGGCGCTCAGCACCGACCCTCTGGGAGCGGCCGCTGCCTAGTGCCCTGCCACCTGGCAACGGTCGTCCGCAGGAGCGAGGGGGTGCGCCGTCTGGGGCTTCTGGCCAGCTGAGGTTTCCTGCGTCTGTTCCTGTTTTTTTCTTGTGCTTTTCCTCCTGCTCCTGCTCGTGCTCCTGCTCCTGCTCCTGCTCCTTTTCCTCCTCATCCTCCTCCCTCCCTCCCTCCCTCCCTCCCTCCCTCCCTTCCCCTCCCTCTTTCCCTCCCTCCTCCCTCCTCCCTCCTCCCTTCTTCCTCTTCTCTCCTCCCCTCTCCCTCCTTCCTCGTCCCTCCTCCTTCTTCTCTTCCTCCTCCTCCTCCTCCTCCTCCTCCACCTCCTCCGCATTCTCCGCCTCCTCCTCCAAATTCTCCGTGCCTCTCTTCGTGAACAATTCACCCGCGTCGTACTCCGAAGCCAGTCGCAAGGGCGGGCCAGGAGTGTCGCTTGACACACCCTTGCCGTTCATGAACCTCAAGCTGAAGAACTGACAACAGTTTCACAAAAGGAAGAGGACGAGTGCTTTTCAAATGGTGGCGCTCGCCTTAGAGCCGCGCACATCTGTCATAAAGATTGCAAGAGCTTCACGGATTGCGGGCGGGTCGTTCTCAAAATGTGGCTCTCGCCTTTACACCGCGCACATTCGTATTCCAACAATTGCCAGAGCTTCACGGATTGCGGGCGGGTCGTTTTCAAAATGTGGCGTTCATCGTTGCGCGTCGCACATTCGATTTTAAACATTTGCAAGACCTTCACGGATTGAGGGCGGGTCGTTTTCAAAATGTGGCCCGCGCCTTTACGCCGCGCACATTATTATTACAAACTTGCAAGAGCTTCACGGATTGCGGGCGGGGCGTTTTCAAACTGTGACTCTCGCCCTAGCGCCGCACACATTCGTCACGAACATGTGCAATAGCTTCACAAGTTGAGGGCGGGTCGTTCTCAAAATGTGGCTCGCTTTAGCACAGCGCACATCCAAATTTGCAAGAGCTTCTCGGATTGAGGGAAGGTCGTTTTCAAAATGTTGCTCTCGCATTTGCGTCGCGCACATTCGAATGAAAAACTTGCAGGAGCTTCACATATTGAGAGCGGTTCGCTTTCAACATATGGCTCTCGCCTTAGCACAGCGCACATTTTAATTAAAAACTTGCAAGAGCTTCACGGATTCGGCACGCTTCAGGATTTTCACACAGCTGCCCCCCAACG